CTCTCTCTCTCTCTCTCTCTCTCTCTCTCTCTCTCTCTCTCTCTCGATTTCTTGCCAGCAATGTAACGACATTAACGCTACAAAATATCACCTTAAAGTCGCAACAGTCTGTTTACGATTCGAAACTGGCTTCGAGAATTACGCAGAGCCGAAGTTCTCGGTTTGTCGTAAACATCGCTGTGTACATCGAAGAAAACATTTACTTTAACGAACACGATTAGCACACACTCCGCCTGTGCTTTACCACGTAAATCACGTTAAACATTCGCGTTCCTCTCCTCTCGTGCCTCGGAAAGAAAGTGTGTGCGTACACACGCGAGCGCGTATAGAAATAATGGAAAATACCACCCCATCGTGTACAATCTCGATCGTTCAGGCTACATAAATCGTCACGCCACTGCGGCGGGCAATTAAGTCATCGGTCTCGTTTCGCGTTCTTTTGCTTTTACGTCGTGGATGACAATCACCCGGCGGGCACGGCGAAGTACGACGTAATATCAATTACAAGAGCCGTTTATCAGTTATGATACAAGTTTATTGAATCACTGTTTGCGCAAATTAACAATGGCAACGGGCCTCAGGTTCCAGTGTCGCATATTTTCCAAAGTACCAAAATTTCTCCCACGTCCACGTGTCGTTTTAAATATTCGCATTTAGTATCCGGCATGATGGTGATATGACGACGATAATAATAACAACAATAATAATAATAATACTAATAGTGTAATAATAATCCAAATAATAATTAATAATATAATAATAGTAATGATAATAATATACAGTAATAACGGGATATTGCGCGCTAATTGTGATAATAGTCAAGAGATATGAAGTAAAATATATACATGCTCTTACGTATATATGTACGTAATCATAATATATACATATTATGATATCGCATCGCAAAAGAATTACGAAATCAATGTGATAAATAAAACAATGTGAAATTTGCTTTGATTAGATGATATGGCTTGTTCGGAACAAAAATTACCCGACCCTTTTTTCCTGTTCCCGATGGATGCTTTCTCCCAACGTTATTCAATATCAAATCTTCTCTAGTTTCTCTCCGGTAACTAACTAATAAATTTTTTATTATGTATAATAGCAATATATATATATATATATATACAGTACATGACCCGCAACGGCGAGTGTGCGTAATAAGTATAATATTATCTATGCGAATGCACCTCGTGACAAAAAGCCGTCGGTCTTCCTTCTAAGCCGGAACATTCAACTTATCCCGCATCTCTACGCGTCCTTCTTCCGGTTTCTTCCTCTACGTGACCCTGTTCTCCTTAAAGGATACTCACGCTCGTTTTTTGGTCATGCTGGCTTTACGTTTGACATTTCTGAGAAAAATTTTTCAATGTCGAAACAACGGCGTTACTGACAGGCACAAACGTCGCGAAATATGCCAGATGCCAGGCGTAAACTCAGCATTACGAATCTGACAATCTTGTAAACGGGTTTGTCCGGCAAGAAATGGCGGACAAGAGTAATCTCCCTTTGTGCTCTTCGCAGCTTCAATATGGAAAATATCGTACCTGCTGCATCTCGATAGAATGCTGTATTACCTTCGAGTCACGACGCATCGCGTGCTCGCGCCTGAACCAAGATTTCCGGATTCGCAGCATAATTTGAACGCGAATGCTTACGTCATCGATCAAATTTATCCTCGCGGAAGTCACACTGGCTACGTCATTGGCACTGTTAAAGCGGAGGAATAGGAGAGAAGCTTAGTTTCGCTATGAAAAAGAGCGAGATCCTTCGAGTTGAAAGATGACCTCGACTTTCGCCGATCCTCGCTTTCCGGCCAAACTCGTATTTGAGAGCGCGCGCGCGCGTGAGAACGGTATCACATAGCGAACAAAGTCTGCAATCACAATCGACGCGTTTACACGATTATTTACAAATTTATCTAGAGATATACAAGCTATGCCCTCGAGGCTAGAAAAATACGATCGCTCGAGCGCAGAAAGGCCGATCGTCGCGAAATCATGGGAGAGGGAAAACGCGAGAGATAATTCTTGGGATTTGTGCGCTTTCGCAAATTGCAAGATAAAACGTCGGCGAACCGCCGACATTGTGGATCAAAGACCATTTAATAATAGTTTTATATAGCCTCGATATAATAGTCATGGGACGATCCTCTCCTCCCGCGAGACGTCCGCGAGATAACGGAGTCCATGTTTAATCCGCTTCTAATTTCGACGCTCGACAGACACTCGTCGATAAGAGTTGCTGTTTGGACATACGTACAGAGATTACGATTTTGCGTCTCGATGAACGACGTTATCGCGATCGCGACGAACGCGACGCGATTGTTGCGATGTGACTCATCCGCATTTCAGCGCTAATATTTTTCTTAGACGCAGAATGTAAAGCGCTTCAAAGAAAACAACGTCGATTCTCCGTCGAATAACAACTACGCGATCAACCTTCGATCTTTCACGAATATTAGCGAAGTATTAGCGAAAATATTTTTTAACTTGCACTTACACGTCTCACGTCCGGGTCGACACATCGGGGAACTTTGCAATTTAAACGAGAAACATAGTTCAATGAATTCAGATCTGAATATTTAACGATGGTAATTGTAACTATAATCCCGCGGGGCTCGTAAAAGTTCGAGGACTGCTCGAGGAAAATTTTTCTACGTGTCTCTTCTGCCTATAGTAAACCTTACGACTTACAAATTTACGATTATCGTTGCGGAACGCTATAAATGCTCGAATACGCCTCAACAAATCTATTTTTTACGTCGCGCGCGTCGGCACCACGGCTACAATTACGATCATCGCTAAATAACAATCGCTATTCTTACGAAAATTGCCAGGATCGGGCAAGATTTGGATTCTGCTCGATCTTGAATGCTGCTTCGGATTGAACAGCGTTAGCCTTAATTAGAGATGCTCGGCATCCGGCTGTTCGAAAATTGTTCAAGTTCGACCGTCGCCGTTGCTGCGCTCGAGCCGATCGTCAAAAAAGAAAAAATTATGACTAGAGAAGAAGGATTCGTATGTCGGGTACGATCGATCGGCGGCCCGCCCGAGAGGACTCGACCTACTCTTACAAGTAGCGTTATTAAAGTATTTGGTGTAAAAATAGGTATGATACACAGGCGTCGGGAGCGCGCAACGCGGTCCCCGTTTCCAAAAGACGTGTCGATGTCTCCTTCCCGCGCGAACGACAAATTGCGTCCAGGAGATTCATCGCTTTTTTTTTCCTCAAAAATTCTTGCCCAATAAACATTAGCCTGCCAATTGAAAAGGATCTAAGCGACAAATTTTCAAAATCAACTTTATCAGAAAACTTCGTCACTCAGCAAATCGAGAATGTAATCGTCATCAACAAACTCTTTTAAAATACATCCTTGTCCTCTCTTTCTCTTTCTTTTTGACGCTTAAATCCTTTTTAATTTACAATATTCAAAGATAAATCGTCGTATATCCCTGCGATACTTCGGAAAGACATTCTCGTCCCGATGTCCCGTTTCTCTCCGTTTCCTCGGGACTATCTAGATTCTTGCGATCGCTCGAAATTCGACTAAAGTCGCTCTCGTGCAACAAAATCCTCGCTGTGAGGCTAATCCCCTTCGAGTGTCCTCTTCGCATCGGTTCCGATCCAAATATTCCTCCTCGCGTAGCGCCTGCAGCGCATAAGACCGAGTGAATCGCTCGTGAAAGTCGTTCCCGGCGATTCTTGGTGCGGCCACACCCTCCGTCGTTTCCTGTCGAAATTCTGGCTCGGTGACGACTCAAGGCGTCGCGATGCCGCCGGGTCTCAGGTCACGTCCACGTTCACGAGTCCGTGAACCCGATCGTCGGCTGGCTGCTACGTCAGCAGCTTGAAGAACATCAAAGCTAGGGATATGTTGATAAAGAGCACCAGCATCACGAGCTGCTGGCGGGAGAACCAGTCCTGGAACATGAACGGGACATTTACGTTAGGCGTTTTTCTTATTCGCGAGTCGTTCGATTCCGCCGCGTCGTCGCCACTCGGAATCGAAGCCAAGTATTCGACGAGGACGCTAGATGATTCATACGCAAGCAAAATTATCTCCGCCGCTGCGTTTTCGTTAATTAACACTTTTAACTTCAAATATCTTGATTTTCGTCATCGTCCTGTTCGCATTGCGAAACTCGTAATTCGGTATTCCCGTATAAGGGTAAACAATTTTACTCGATTCTCTTCGCGACTGCGAAACCGAGCCGGGAACGAGAAGCGGATCCACTTGATTCCTAGAAACGCGCGTGAAATCTATACTAGAGAGTCGTCGCATTTCTCGCGGTGCGTTATATTTTTGCGTTCCAAGCCGAGACGCAGGACTCGGTCCGAAATAAACCGTAACACTCTGCCAAGTGCCGCCTCTCCCGTGCTTCTCCCTTATTTTTGCGAACAACCGGCGATGATTGACGCCGCGCCATTGTTCGACGAGTTTTCGACCATGGCCAGATGGAGGATACTCACTTTAACCTGCGGACTGACCAGGTACAAAAGCGGGTTTGCCCTGAGCCTCTCGCTCTCGTCGATCTGCCTGCGGATCTCCTCCCGCCTCATGCTGCTCAGGATACTGACTTCTTCCCTCGACAATGGCGCAGTGGCCGTAAGTTGGATCGGCTGCGCCACGTCCGGCAGCGACTTCTTTCGTTGAAGGGGCATTGCCGCCACCGGCATCGCCTGCACGAAGGAAATAAACGAGAAACAAAAAGAGAGAGATGGGCCTCGAGCGACGGATGCCAATTACTTATCAACACACTATGTACATTGGTAATGCCTTAACACGTCGTGTAGAGCGTCAAACGGATATACAGCGAAAAGAGAAAATAGAGTTATTATCAGGCGATAGCGATTATTTCTTACAAGGAGTAACGTTAGATCGATAATTGTTACGTGTCAGGTGAGATTTCGCTTGGTTAATTTAATTAAACATCTGTTTTTTTTTTTTTTTTTTTTTTTTTTGGAGAAATTCACCCAAAATTCGAAGATCGATTTCGTGAACATATAACACGTGCATGGATTTATTAATTAACATTGGATCGAATTAAGATGATTGAACTTTTAATTAAAAAATGTGAAAATATTTCAAAGGTTCGTTCATGCACAATTTCAAAATTCGATTTAAAATTGTTCAACATCTTTTCTACTTTTGACTCTTAAAGATATTTCCCGAAAATATATTTTTGCTTTCTACAAAAAAAGAATTGACGAATATCATAAATTACTCGAAAAGCAAGCAAACCAGAAGACTGCGTTCGAAAAGTTTCAGTTTTTTCTTAAATTTGCAAAAATCACTATTTATCATTTTAAATGGGAAAATTATCATAAACGAAATTTCGCTTTGTTCCAGGGTTATTAACCTTTGACACGTTTTCTGGACTTTTTGAAGCTTATGCTTTGTACCAGAAGTGTCGATATAAACGAGTATCTCTCTCTTGTTTGAATTTCTGTTTGCTCGCTCGCGTGACGTCAAAAGTTAGACAGCTCTGTTTTATATCGTTCCGCGAAGCTACCCATTGAATTTTCAGCCATTGACTATTCAGACAATTGATTATTTTGTTCAGCCGTCTACGTGCAGCAGTCAATCACAGTTACGGTCACAGAATTATGTAATCACGATTCGTTAAACGTAGATTTAAGTTCAATTGTTCTAGCGGCCTTCTTCACGAAACCAATCCAGAATCGAGGTTGTATTAGTGGAGCATCGAATTCCCGTAACGTGTTTTATTAATTCAGCATTTCATGCGAATGCAACGGGTGGCGAGGAGAAAGGTAGAGTACGAGCGGAAAGGAGGGTCTTTTGGAATCATTCCAAACCCAAGAGAGATTTCGAGCACCGTGGTGCAAGGGCCGAAGAGGCTAATCCTGACCAAAACGATTCGTCGCATTGATCTTCGCATTTTTACCGCACGACCGCATAAATTGATTTTTCAAAGATAGCTTAAGAAGAAAAAAATATAAAAATAAGATATCGAGTAAATAACATAAAAGAAATAATTTTAATTACAGCCAAGAACTTTTTTTCGTACGAAATTTCAACTGTATATATATATATTTATTATCGTCGCAAGAAAATTCCGCACGCGTTTCCACAATCGTCGCGTGATCTTCTAAACATATTGTGTGCGGCAAGTTACTCGACAAGTAACTTGCCGCAAATGTTGCATAATTGTGTACGTTCCATTTTTCCTCGCAATGATACGTACGTATAGGGTGTTAAGAAAAAATGATGAAAAATTTATTATTGGAGATGCTCTCATCAAATTGATTAAAATACTGTAATTAAAATAAATAAAAAAAAAATTACCAAAGATGATTTTTTTATTTTGATTATACGAATAATTTCCTTACACTTTTACAGAAATCCACAAAAATTCCTTATTGTATAAGCTTTTAGTTATTTTTTATTGCATATGAAAATATGTATGATCATAATTTACTCATACTTTACGAGTTATTTCATATTCGCGAGATATGTCTTTTTTATTTCTGTACAGCCTATCCTAAAAAATGCAGGATTTTATCTTAATATCTCTGCATATTGAATGAGAGAATTTTATATGCAAACAGAAATATACGGTCTCGTGCAAGAATGCGAACAAAATATTTGTGTTATTCAAACCAAAAATTGCTTTCATTTCTAACGCGATTAATTTTTCTTAATCTACGTCAACTAAACTGTTTTTCGCTCAGTTTATCGGGTAATATATTTCTCAAAGTCTTTTCTCTAACGCTCCGTACAAGTCATGCATATTAAATTGTAACGTAGCACTGTAAAAGCCTTCTGTCTTTCGCATATCGCGCGTTCTTATCTCTTACGTGCACTTTTCTTAAATAAGGCCACGCGTACTTTGCTATGCGCCATATTTATGCAACCTATTATATTTGCTGACCCTCCCCGTTTATTGCGACGCGTTTTGCTCGTAAACCCTCGTTCCACACTTCGTCGAGCGTGCGTTATCGCTAAGCACAGCTGATCCCACCCCTAACGATCGCGCGAGCAAACAACGCTTCTCCCCGTTCGCTATTGCGCCGTTGTTTCTCCCTCTCCCCCCTCTCCCTTCCCCGCCCCCCTCGTACCCCCGCCCCGTACTTTCTTTCAAGAAGAAAATTCATCCCGCGTGAACTTTCACGCGTTGCTTATCACGTGGTTGTTGTGTTAGAACGCGTCGTACCTCCACGGGAGGTGCGACGATCCAGGACTCCGAGGCGCGCCTTGCCATCAGAGCGGGGCTGCATAGCAACGCCTCCTCCTCCTCATCCGTCTCGATCCAAAACATCTTAATTTTTGCCCGATGACTCACAGAAAATCGACACAGAATCCGTCAAGATCTCTCGGGTTCTTAACTACCTGCGAAGAAGAGAATCATTCTCGTTCCTTTGGCACAAGTTCCTCGACCTTCGTTTCTCTTTCCTAAATCGCACTTTCGTCCCACTTGTCTGCCCCGATCTTTGATAAATTTCTTTTTTTTTTTTTTCTAATTTCTGATGAACTTACAAACAGCTCGTATCCTTTAACGTGTCCACGATGCAAATTCCTTCCGTTATTGGATTTTCAATAGTCGTCCGGTTTTACTTAAAAGCATTTAGTGAAGTCATTATTATGAAACTAATATTAAATTCTCACTTTTGTGTGCCCGTGACCAAGCGAAACCAAGCGACACTGTTCTCTTCGAGTCCACATTAAATTCGAGATCATTCCGGAAGAAATAATCGTAGCCAGCTGGCGCTTCCGTTCACACCGGGCTTTATCTTCCTCTCCCTTTCTCTCTCTCTTTCTCTCGCAACCGGAAGTGTCTTGTGAAACTGCGCGAGCGTTCGCATTCGAGGAAACCCGTTCGTGCTTATCTCCCGGCCATTTTTCGACAGTTTCCTGGGCACGAAAGGGGACGAATCGAAGTGTGAATTACGGATTTGCAGCCTCCTGGTAAGGAAGCTGGGCCGCAGACTGAACGGCCCTGGCTAGCACGACCGAAATAGAGCGATGCCCCACTATCTTCGAAATAACTTTACCGAGCGTCGCGACGCCCGCGGAGATCCGCGTCGGGACGCTGCCAGAACTCTGTCGATCCTCGCAGCCTCCGTGATTTACGAGGCTGATTTATAGTGGTAGATATGGCATGAGAAAGGATTGCTCGCGAATCTCAAAATTCGATTCTCATTCCTGCTCGCTGATCTCTGAGAAAATTGCGAATCATTCTTCACCTCTTCTAGAATCTTCTCAAATCTCTTTAAATCTCTTTAAAGTAAAGTTACTTTAAAATTTGTATTCTCTTAAGAAAAGAGAATGAAAAAAAAAAAAAGAATCCGACATTCGAATTACAATATGCGTTTTACCGCCGTGAGAGAGTCTTATGCAAATCAAGAGTTTAAGTCCGGACTCGAATTATCTGACTCATGCGTTTGGCACGCGAATAAATACGGCGAAGGATTTCGGGATTTTCGCGCGCCAAGAAACCGTTCGTTCCCACTTATTTGCAATTTCTTTGTCTGTCATTTACCGCGTTGCGCAGCCCGCCTGCTGCTGCAGTTTAGCTAATCGTACCTGGCAAAATAATTCGACTGGCATGGTGCAACTTTAATTTGCCTCGCTAATAGAGGTGCGATTACCTCGAGGCAGTTCCCTTATCGAACCGATTGTTTAATCCGATTTAATTAATGCGTAGCGCTAATGCTGTAATATTTTTTCATGGGAGCAATTATATTCAAGTTGGCACAAATTAATTCGCACTTAATTGAATTAACATAATAATAAAACGGTGATAAATAACAAGTTGTTACATTTTATTGTCTACGTAGGAAAGAGCATTAATATTCCCGGTAACTTTTGAAACTTCCTCGAACCATACAGACGTCGTCGTTATAAAAATACGACACTTGAAATGAGCGCTTGACAAATTGTAAGAAATGATAATGAGGAAATTAATATTAAAGCCGGAATTTCCATGGCCTCGCTCACGAATTGCATACAATCGCGCAACCTTTATTGTTTGCGATCGCTTCCTCCCATAATTTCCATAAAGCTCGTTTGAATATTACGATTGAATATTGCGCAATTGGATCTCGAAACATTAATATTAATCTTATTTACGCGAAATGCGCACGATTCACACAAAAACCACCGATTATTTTCTAACATTCTGTCTGATATCGATTTTTTCACCGTCCATCGTTATGAATGTGATTAGCGATTAATACTTATTATTCTCTGAAAAAGTAACAATAGACGATAAAGGCAGTAAAAGGTCCGGTTTTACGCGATGCTCTTTAATCATTCAGCAATAGCTTATACATGATATACATAAATACATTCAGTACATCGAGTCAACGTTTGCAACGTCGTTGTTTGGTTGTGAACGGAAATCGGTACGGTTTTTCTACATTAAGATAGACTTTCTTCGGAACATATAGTCCTGGAAATTTACGGAGTATGTACATATTTCTATTTTCACATTCTGGCCTGAACTTCTACATCTATATGGCTACGTATCTACAAATAATTGTGCGTCACGCTATAAATAAGAACGTGATTATATCCGACTCGTTGGACGTCTAGAAAAGCTCTCGTAATGTCAGACGCGAACAACTGCTTTTTTGCAAGGTTGGCACTTGAGTGCGAGATTAAGAAAAGTACTATTTTCAACGTTGACGGAATGTCGATGCTTCTCTTCCCTCGTGCTACTCTCTTCCTCCAATAGCCGCGCGATATTATAGCTGAGATTCGTCATAAGCGAGTAACTTGTGAACACACGGGTTAGATTAACGGCTTAAGTCAGAATTCAAGCGTTTGTTTGGGAATGTTACATTCGGAAATTGCACTCGCGTACCGCGCGTCGTTGCATTTTATGCGAACCTGCACGAATCCCGTAACCCCCCCTTTCGCAAACCCGCCGCATTCTTTCCTTCTCGTGCAACTCGTCGTTATTGTCGAAACCATGATTTGTGACTTAAGATGTTAACGCAGATATATTAAATATTGTTAAGTCGGCCCTGTATGAAAATATAGTGAGTATTCCTCCGTAGTTTAATTAAAAATCTCAAAGAGTAGTATTTTCTTTTGTGCGATCCTCAATAATTTCTATCGATTAGAATTTTACGTTCCGATTATACATATAGGTCGTTTAAGAATTAGGCTCACAGTCGCAGCTATCATTGGCAAAATCGTTATTATCGTTACACAATTTCTTCATATAATCTGCTCATAAATATTTGAATATTAGCCTTATTTACACGGAACGTATAATATATAACCTGGATGTCTTCCTGTATAAAGAATTATCGGCGTATAATATTTAATATAATATTTAACACGGACGATCGCAAAACTTGCGTTCTCTCCTTCTTCCCGCGAGCATTCATTTTTCTCAATATATAAAATAAACTCTCGCATTATCTTTCCCTTCGCGTTAACATGGGCGGCAATTTATTCTACGCAATAATTTATGTGCGTGCGCAAAACAGTAATATACTACGATATAACGCCCCGCATTATATATATATATATATGTGTGTGTGTGTGTGTGTGTGTATATATACACATATATA